ATCCCAAGACCACATTGGCTTTTTTCACCGCCACGTCACATTGTCGACTCATAGTCATCCTGCGGTCCACAAGGACCCCGAGGTCTCTCTCCTCCTCCGTTACTTCCAACCGATGTGTCCCCAGCTTGTAACTAAAATTCTTGTTAGTCATCCCTAAATGCATCACCTTACACTTTTCACTATTAAATTTCACCCTATTTCTCTTACTCCAATTCACAAGGTCATTCAAGTCTCCCTGCAGAATATCCCGATCCTCCTCCGAATTGGCAATACCTCCCAGCTTTGTGTCTTTCACCCCTGCCTGTGCCTGTGTATTTCCAGCAGTAAGATTAAAGCGAGAGTCACTACCAGAGGTAGAAGCTGCATTTTCTATCTTTGCTGTGCTCTTCTTTCCCCTCTTGCATGTGTTTGTCTTGTTTGGTCTCCCAGAAAATGGAACTGGACTTTAACAACAACGACAGCTCCAGCCCACCTCAACTAACTTTGTCTCTTTCCCAAAAAGAACAGTTATCACCGCCTTTAATACTGACTAAAAGACTGTCATACAGAGGGGTTTTCCTTATGAAAATGCTACAGCTTTAAAAAAAAAAAGGAACAAGGGTTGTGGTTAAAATAAAAGACTTACTTAATATTTTACATTGCAAATGCTTTATCTTTAATAAAAGGTTAAAAGGGTGTTGTGTTTGCCATAGTACTAAGGAGGCTGTATACTAAACCCTGAACCTCATTTAAAATCTTTTAATGTTGGATAGTGACAGTCATGTTGACACCTTTGAGCCAATATATTGCATCTGAATTAATAGAACAGGACCTATGTATTTAAAAACACTTAGGGATGCTTCGGAACGAAAGGTAACATGCAAGAGATGTTTGTTTCATACAGAACGTAGCTATTGGGCCAAATTCTTTATTGACATACTCACCACACAGCCTCAGTAAGTTCACTTGAGCCCCACAAGGTGTAGGTCAGTGCAGGTTTTGGTCCATTACCTACAAAATATACAATATACACTATTGTACTTTCATATGCCATAAAAATAAACCAAGAAATTCTGTAATTAAACTGATTCATTAAGTTTGATTAAGTCTGCCTCTTATTAGCTTCTCAAGTTGCAATATTTACCAAGTAAATATATGCCATTCCTATGACAATGTATTTTGATAGGATCTTTTGTTCATTGTTGCCATTCAGATTTTTGAATTTTAATCTGTAAATACAAAGGGCCTAGTTCTGCCCTGAGACGCTCATGCATATTGTTTTCTCCCATACACAAAGAGCATCCATATCTTTTCAGAGATTAAATGACTTCCTTTAGATTAAATGAAAACATCAACATAGGAAAGAATAATAAAATCTCTATGAGAGAGCATAGTGTGTGTTTCCCCTCTAATTCAGGCGGCATCTGCAGTTAACACGAAATGGCAGCAGAGGCCTCCGCTACACGTATAGACAGCATATGACTACAACTTATGGGAATAGATGCTCTGCAGAGGTACAGTATCTGAGCTTAGACTTTAGAATTTTTTAAATCCTAAGTATCCGGAGGTGGTGACAAAAAAAATCAAAAATATTCTGGAGGACTTCAAAAATATGGAGTTTCAAAGTTCTTTTTGTACAAAGAGGGTAAGAACATTTCATAGTAATTGAATTAATGTGATTTCCACAAAAGGACAGCTTACCCCAGTTCCAATTATGTTATTGCACCCATTTTCCTCCACGGAAGATCTTAAGGAGTAAGAGAGCTAGACACTTATCCATGCTATTATAATGAAGCTTCAAATACGTAAGTCTAGTTTACAATTATTTTGATTTTGATTCCATGCCAATTATTTTTTGATGTCTATAAAAAAAAAAGATACTACAAAGACTGTTGAAAAGTTTATTTTCACGTGACTTGTAGTAAATCAGTATAATCTGCATTTCAAGTGTATTGCTTTACTATGTTTTACATTACATATCTATGTATTTTTCAGGGACGACTCCACTCGTTTGATCAATTCAGCACTCAGAAAGCCTACAGAGCATGAAGCTTCACATCATTAAAATATAGCTGAAGTCAAAGATTGACATTTTCACACATGGGTGCCTGAAGTTAGGCACTGTAGTAGTTTTGGGCCGAGGTTCGGCCCTCAGCGGGGCTGTGGGGTATCCCACCGCCTTGCTCTGGTCCGGCGGCAGTCGGGGACCGCAGACCCACAGTTAGGGGCTCAGGCCCCTAAGCAGGGGCTGAGCCAAGAGGTCCAAACGCAGGCCCTTAAGCAAGGGCTGAGGCAAAGTCTATAGCAGCCCAGGCCTTAAGTCAGGGCCGGGTAGTAATCAAATAGTCAATCAAAGGCCCAGGCCCTTAAGCAGGGGCTGGGTCAGTTTGTAGCAGGTCCCAGCCTTTTCAGGCCAGGGAAAAAAAGGGGGAGTCTGCCACCCAAGGAGTGGGTGGCAGGGGGGACGCAGGCCCTCCCACCCCACTACGTCCCAGCCCGGGGCCCTAGCAGCGACGGAAACTCGCTGCTGTCAGTGGGGATCCTGGCTGCAACACACAGACAGCGGCTCTGGCAGTGCAGCAGCCAGACTGCGGTCGGCTGCCCCCAGGCTACTTCCACACTCCCCCTCATAGGGTACCTGGGCCGTACTAGTGTCGTCGGTACTCTCCACCAGCATGGGCTCCTCGGGGTAGGTAGCGAAGGGCAGGCTCGGCTCCTCCTCGGGGTAGCTGGCACGGGGCAGGCTTGGCCAGTCCTCCTCAGGGTACCTGGCATGGGGCAGGCTCGACCGGCCCGGTGAGTCAGCAGGCCGGTCGCGGCCTGCGGCTGTTTCCCAAGCGGGAGCTCGGCCATGGACGTCTGCTCTCTCCGCCGGCCTGGGCTCCACTAAGCTCTGCAGGCGGGCTTTTATACTTCCGGGTCGGGGCCGTGACCTTGGAGGGGCGGGCGCTGGACCCGGTGGCTCCGCCCACGTTGGTATTAGGGGAGGTTCGGCCGTCAGCGGGGCTGTGGGGTATCCCACCGCCTCGCTACAGGCACCTAAATAAGAGTATCCTGATTTTTTAGAAGCTAAACCCTTATAGCCCACATTGACTTCAGTGGAATCTGTGGGTGCACCGAACCTTTGAAAAATCAGACCACATTTAGTTAGGTGCCTAACTACAGATTTAAGTGCATATTTTTAGGCATCCACATTTAAAAATTGAAGCCTATATTTTTAATTACAAACAGCTAGAATTTCTGAACCTTTGACTAGAAACAGTTCCCTTATAAAGCGACATAGGGAAAATGGAGACATTCTTTAAAACAAACTCTGTATCCCATTTTAACATTGCCTTAACAATCAATGAAAGTATTTATATACTGTGCGTTTATGCAGTGTCTAGCACAATGGGACCTATACATGTCATTACAATAAAAATATTCTTTAAGGCTTGTTTTCTATTCCATAGGTTGCCCCACTGCCAGTGCCACAAACAATGTTCTATATTGCGTAGGCAAGATGCCCACTGCCAGCGTGAGGTTCAGAAATGTCAATTGTAATTCAGACTTTCAAATCCATTTCAGTTTCTCAGTCTTGGTGGGGAGTGCTTCTGATGTTTATTTAACTTAAACATTGAGAGAACAAGCAACATTTTATTTTAAATTATGTAAAGGCTCATATATGATTCTTTTTAAATATGCAACGCATGGCAGGCTATGAATACATTGTATAAGCATGTAAGAAAATGGTTTCTAGCATTAAAAGTTAAGTCTTGAATTTAAATAAGATTTTTCTTAAAACATCTTACTCTCAAAAGAAAAGAACAATGAACAAGAACAAAAACAGGAATAGTATTTCCCATACTGGATTGGATTACTGGTACATCTTGTGTCTGACACGGGCATATTCCTGATGCCATTGTCTAAAAAGCAGCTGGCCACTTGTGCAATATTGAATGTGTTGGGGAGGGAAGAGTACCTTTTGACCTTTACAGAGCTCACCTTTTACCCTGGAGCAAGAGATTTGATTTCCCTTATGTAAGCATGTTTAAAAGTAGAAAATTAGCTGTTGTAAATGGTATAACAGATGTACATTTGTCACACTTGGCCAGATACTGCCCTCAGTTACAGCTATGAAACCCTATTGGCTTCAATGGGATTTCATGGCTGTAATCAGGGGCAGAATTTGGCCTATTGTTTTTAGTATCACACTTAAAACAACACACACACACACACACACACACACACACACACACTCAACAGGAGATTTCTTGGGACAACCCATTAAACTGAGATGCTGATGATGTCACCAACATACAACAGTAGCATTTAAAAGATCACTTCACATTCAATATTGAATTTGTTTTTGATGAGCCAATGCCAAGTTTTGTACAGGATTAAAGAAATGTTAAAACCTAATCCAGCACTTGTTCAAAAACAAATTAGCCTGGCATTGCAAGTGCAATTCATAGGCTCTAAAGTGGAGGCATGCCTACCACAGTGCTAGTGTTTGTTCAGGAATATTAATCCAGAGATATCATATCGTGTATGATGCATCCGTTCATGTGAATTATTCCCAATGGTTCTGACCTGTGCCGGTTTGTACCCAATTTGAGTCATTCTGAACAAATCTCAACATGAAGCTCAGTTGAAAATACCAAGTTTCGCCAGGTTTCATGTTTAAATCACAAAGATGTGTCATACAATTAAGATAAGAGCTGTGATTCTGGATTAACTATATTTCCTGTCCACCGGAAAAGCCCGCACATAGAGGCTGTAAACCCTGCAGAAATGGACACCTGGAAATCTTCCTGAAATAAGCGACTTCCGGGGGGGATGCAGAGCCAGGGAAACAACCCTAAACACCACCACGCTGCATGCATACACGCACTTGTACTCCCACAGTTTACGGCCCTGCCAGAAGAAAAGCGATGACTGGAGCACACTGCACACCATTTACTCTTGCTAGCTTTCGCAAGCAGCTATATCATAACTTATGCAGGGAGCAGAACTGTTCCCAGCCACCTCCAGAGATTGTAGAGAGGAAAGCGATACCCTGCCTCCCATTCTGAGCTCAGAATCAGGGCCGTAGTCTATGAATTCAGGTGATTAATGTACCAGGAGTTCTTCACTTGAGGAGAAGTAGTTGAAGGGAGTTTTAATGTTGGTGGGGGAAAGTACTGTCTGAGCAGGAACAATTATACACCTATCTGTGGATCAGCTACATGGAGTTGTCTGCACAACAACATATCAAGAAATAGAAGACTGCAGAAATATTAATGGGAAGTCCTTGAAGAGGAGACTATATAACAACAGTTATATATTAGGGGGAGGGATAGTTCAGTGGTTTGAGCATTGGCCTACTAAAGCCTGTTGGGAGTTCAATCCTTGAGGGGGCCACTTAGGGATCTGGGGAGAAATCAGTACTTGGTGGTACTAGTGAAGGCAGGGGGCTGGACTTGATGACCTTTTAGGGTCCCTTCCAGTTCTATGAGATAGGTATATCTCTATATTATAACAGTGCACATTACTACTACAGCTGAAGAAAGAAAAGGGAGGGAGGAGGTCCCCAGGGCCGGCCTTACAGGTAGGTGCTGTGATCAGCTGCCCAAGGCGCCAGGGTCAGGGGGGCACCATGGTCCAGAAGCAAGACACAGGGCAGGGCTAGGGTGCGAGACTGCGGAAGGGAACTCAGGGTGGGAAGGGAACCTGGAGAGGCAGCAGGGACCAGGGGGGATGCAGGTATGTATGGGGAGGCAGCAGGGGCCAGAGGGAGGCAGCAGGAGCCAGGGGCGCCAAAATACAAGTTCCCCCAGGGCTCCATTTTCCCTAAGGCCAGCACTGGAGGTCCCCCAAAATTTCTGTGGAAAAACCTTTTTCCATTTTTCTTCAAAATCGCTGAAATTTTTTATTAACTCAGGTTACTGCACAAATAGCTCATTGCTTCATGGTGATAATGAGCCATAATGGTGAATTAACAGCCTCTTTAAATACAGCAGATGTAGCACAGCATTCTCTTTTACTGGAAATA